AAACAATTAATATCCACAATACATGAAGAACTTTTATAAATCCATAGAAATAATGAGCCAATGTAAAAACAAGAAAGGAAACAAGCAGCAAATTCGAACTAAAAAATAGATGGCTAATATAAATATTATATGAATCATGGTCCTGACGACACACTCTTTTAGGGTAATTTAAAAATGTAATTTAATAAAAAGGACTATTTAAGTGATGTGAGGCAACTTTAAAAAAATCTGTATAGGAAGAGGTAGAACCCTGGGTCTAGCAACAGAAGAGAGCCATTACCACCTTCAGGCCTGAAGAGATGAGAGGAGACAGTTAAGCAAACCATACAGGCAGCTGTATCCAGAGGGCCGTGGAACAGGAGACATAGCTTTTATTACAGAGACACAACCAAACCATTCAGATTCAGCAGGGTAAGAGGGAAGAATGAATATCTAGCTCTCTCTTTCCTCACGTCCTCAGTTCTCTTGCCAGTACACTACACAAGCCAAGCCGGTAAGGAACCCAGAGAGTGCACAAGTCAAACTCCACAAGAATAGAGCAAGGTGGAGAAAAGTAGAAAGTGGAACTCTAGCAGCAAAGAGAAGATGTCAACACAGTCCATCACTTGTTCCTCAGAATCCATTCTTCCTCTTTGGTTGGCAAAAAAAAAAAAAATCTTAAGTGAAAAACATCTTTGCATACACTGAATCCTGTTAGTTACCACACGATCATGGGATTATATCAATTCAATTATATTCTCAACTGAAACCGAAAACATTGAGGTAGAAAATGTTGGTGTCCCATTTATATTATTTCAGCTGGGCATTCAACATTCTCATGTACACCAAATGAATAGCTTTGAATGGCAAGGACTCTATAGTTGGCCCAGGGCTAAGAGGGCAGGTCAGACATACCCAGGAATTAATGTTAACCCCAGGAGCATCCCACAACCAATGATTACCAGGAGCTAGTGGATATAAATCCCAGCTCCCTTAAACAGCTGTTGGGATAACTCTGAGTTACATCTTACACCACTGCCCCCAGAGTTCCCCAGTGGGATGGAGCTATAATTGCCTACAAGCAGTAAATCGCTCAATATAAGAAACACTTTATTGTCTTCCTTAACTTCCCTTGCTTACTCTCCCCCACTATCCTATCATGCTTACTCATATATGCAAAAATAAACTGAAATTGAATGTTATCGCGTCTCAAACAAATAGTGCATACTCATATCCTTGTCTCAAGTACCCAGCCTAAGATAGATACCATCAACAGGGCTCATCACATAAGCTGACAAAAGAAAAAACAGAGGAAAATTAACATAAAACCTAGTTTACATTGTCCCTGTCTTATTAGCTAGTGACAAGGTCTAAGTTTATCATCACATCTGCCTTCTCCCACCACCTATTCTATGAATAACTTACCCTCAGCTAGCACTTTGGCTGGCAAGAATACTTCACCTAAGGAACTTGATTAAATACCTAAAGTTAACAAAATTTTGTGGTGGCAACTTCTGACAAGGTTAAGTGACCCAAACCTTGATTCCTATAGGATGTGAATCTTTGTCATAGTGTCTTTAATGAGACAAGGCAGTTATCTATTAAACAGAGCTACTGGGCAAAGAGGATACTTAGAATCAAGTAAATCCCTTGTATGTTATCCTTGTCTCTGTTACATAGCAGCAACCCATTCCCCCTTCACCAGTAACTCAACTTAAATGTCCATTGAAATTGTGGTATATAGATACAAGGGAATATTTTTTCAGCCTTCAAAAATAAGGAAATCCTGTTATATACTACTACATGCACAAAACTTGAAGATATTATGCTACGTGAAATAAACCAATCACAGAAAGACAAATACTGTGTCATTACAATTTTATGAGGTGGCTAATGTAGTCAAACTCTCAGAAACAGAAAGTAGCATGATGATTGCCATTTTTGCAAGACGAAAAAGTTTTAGAATATCTGTTGCAAAACAATGTGCATATAGTTAACTACTGTACACTTAAAAATATTTAAGATGGACATTGTAGATATATTTGTATGTATGTATTTGTGCATATCAGTCACATTTGCATATATTTTCTAAAAACACATGGTTATTACAAATTAAATATATATGTTTATTTATAAGCTATAGTATCTATTCAGTAAATATATTAAAAGGGAAAGAAAATGGCTTACTTTATCTCAGAAGTACTATTCTCAGAGGCCTTAACTAGTGGTGCTCCTATCACATAACCTAAAGCATATCCAAGCGTTGATGAAGCATCTGCAATACCTGTAAAATAAATACTGAAATTCAAGGCACTTTATAAGCCTGCTTTGTCATAAGATGATAAAGATTAATTGACTGAAATGGATTACTTCTGAAAGTTTTTCTGAGCATTCTATGTTAGAGTTCTCAAACAGAATCAACAGGAGATATACCCACATATATATATATATACATCTCCCCATATATAGCCATATATCTATCCATACATATATATATACATATCTATCTGTCTATCTATCTATAGAGAGAACAGGAAGATTGATTTTAAGGAATTGGTTCATACAGTTGTGATCCTAACAGGTTCCAAACTTGTAGGTCAGGCCATTAGGCTGGAAAATCAAGTAAGAGTTGATGTTGCTGTCTTGAGGCAGAATTGCTTCTTTGGAAAACCTCAGTCTTTGCTCTCAGGACCTTCAACTGATTGGAATTGAGGCCCACCCACCTTACGGAGGGGATCTGCTTTACTCAAAGTCTACTGATTGTAAATGTTATTTGCATCTTAAAAATTACATCACAGAAACACCTAGACTGGTATTTCACCAAATAACTGGGTGTCATAAACTAACCAAGCTCACACATAAAATTAATCATTACACATATTATATTATCCAGTGCAGGTATTAGTGCTTTTTAGGCATGCACCAATAACCTTCATTGCTTGGCAAGTATCACTTTAAAAGAAGATAATTATTAACATATTTTTGTTAATTGAATTCAAAAAATAAACATACAACTCAGATAACTGAATTATATAATTCATCATACCTTATTTAATCTATTAATATACATTTAATGTAATATAAATAAATATATTTAGCATGAATATAAATTCAATATACCTTATTTCATTTTAATTTTTGGCACTATAGCAAAATAATACTTTAACATCATCACCTTTGCATCTTTCACCTTAGCTACCCAAGTAGCAGAAGATGGCAGCACAGTAAGCTTCTCTCTACAGTATACAGGTGTGTGTTTTAATTGCTATTCAGTAGAACCAAAAGTAAATCCCACAGATTTGCTGCCACCCTCAACCAACACTAATAAATTACTGCAATGTTTTTATAAAAGCAAACATAAATATGAATATCATCTATTTTACTTTATTAATGTGACTCGTTTTACCTATGGTGGAAAATAATTATTTTGGTGAAAAATAGTATTAATATTTTCTTTTAAGTTGCCTTCACAATAAGTATATAAAGACAACTTTACATTTATTTTCAAAAATGATAGTTAGATAGCTGTACAAATAAATAACCAGAATATATTGTACAATAAGAAAGTATAGGCTATTCCAATAGGTCTTCAGAATTACTTATGGTAGGATACAGTAGCATAAGGCATTGTAAATAGGGGATACTATGTTGCATTCAATTATATATATATATATATATATATATATATATACACACACACACATATAAAAATATACATATATGTGTATATATGGTAAGAGTATAGTATTTATTACTTAAGAAAGAATGTATTTTTTCTATTGGTCTACATATTTTCAGTGACATTCAGATGACCTATCTAGAATTCTAAATCTCTAGCAGCTCCTCAGAATTAGGTAGTTCAATGTGATTTTGAAGTTAAGCATACCAGTTATCATTTATTACAATGTTATCATAATGGCCAACAGTTAGTACTTCTATATAAGTTTATATATGCACACCAAGATATAGAAGCTCAATGAAAATTCAAAATAAGGCAATCCTATCAGAGGAGAAAAAAACTTGCCTATATAGAAACCAAGTGAGTGTGTCTCAGTGCTGTCATCAAGAAAGGTTATTCCAAGGATATGAAGAGGCATTCCTGCTATTCCATGCACAATCTGCCCACCAATGAAGCAAGATACGTATTTCGATTTGAAAGATGGTATGTCTCTCCGGCAAGCACTGGTAACCTTTGTTGCTTTGCAAATATCTTTTGAAAAGATGACAATTATATTTTTGTTAATTGAATTTAAAAGTTAAACATACAACAAATATGCAGTATTACTTATCAAATATTTTACCATTTACAAGTTATTTCCACCATTTTTCTTTTAGTTAACATTTCATTTATATTGAATGTAGTAGTACTACAATCAATCATCATGTTCTCAGAAAAATGCCATGATAAAAGAAAACTTGTGGGAATACTGGAAAAGATGCACATATTATAAACCAAAACATAAATGTACACACGCACATATAGGCATACATACATTTATATACCTACACATTTATGCACACATATAACATATATTCCTCTTAAATTTGGCATCCAGTTCTCCTGGCTTTTGATCCCAGATCTCAATTATCAAAGATTAATTTTCTGAGTTTAGTCCTATGTCCACTAACTTAGCAATCTTTATATTAATTCTGTGTCACCCTGCTTAACAATTTCCCAGTTTAGACCCAATAACTTCTAGAATATAGGTTCATTAGGACGAAGCATTCCATGGGAAGCATTTCTCTCTGTTAGAGTTAGTCATATTGCCATGCATTCGATTTTAATTTCCTTCAGGTCACAGTGTATTTCTTATGTTTTTTAAATTTGCATGGTTATAGAACAGTACTAAATAAATGTTTGTGTAATTGCATTTGTTATTAGTTTGGTAGATCTAGACAATGTTATTAAATCATATTTATTGTGACCATTTTGGTTGAAATTTAACAAATTAACTTAAAATACTATTGTGGAAATACTATTAAAGTGTGGATTGCAAAATAGTACACAAATGGAAACTTTCAGCTGCTTTAGTATCCATATGGAATGATGTTTGGCTCCAGATCAAATGAGAGGGGGTCTCTAGAACTGTGATTCAAATGCTGATGATTCAATTTTATATAGACATATTAAGTTGTTATGACATAAATATCAATGTGGTATTTCCAACACCACGACCCCTCAGTTCCTTGAACTCCTCTCCTCTTACGCACTGTACTTCACCTACCTTAGCTACTCATTCTAAATATCAAAAATAATAACTACAAACCTCCTCTAATTGCAATTTCAAGCATCTACACTCTAACCACCTCTATTTTTCCAGCTTACTCCTTCTAGTAACCCAATTTCAACAATCCTTAAAACTCATCAGGATAATGATACTATAATCCATTGATCCTATTTCCTTTCACTATTCCAATGTCCCTTTCATGTCATTACTTCTCTCATTATCATCTAAACACTTTTAATTCCCTTGTTCTCTTTCAGGTCATGCAATTCCTTGCTAAAATTTCAACCCTAGTCAAACTAACTTTTTCCCACTCTATACCTACACCTTTAAAGTTGAATGTGGCTGGAAAAAAACACACAACCATGCGAATCCCACTTTGAATTCATGATTAATAAACTCAAGGAAATCCTTCATGCTCCTTTTTCTTTTTTTTCTTTTATTTATTTATTTATTGTTTTGAAATCCCATCAATCTTGTTCTCATGTTCCTGATAATCATAAAATATGTCCCTAGTCTATTTACTCTTTCCTTCTCCTAGAAAATTCAACTTGTTTGTTTTTTTTCCCCCCTAGGGATCAAGTCCTGAGCTTTCTATTGATCCATATCTGAAAACAAGTATTTTCCCAATAGAATAAACAAATATTTTAGTACCCTTTGTCACACTAAAAAAAAAAAGAATCTCTCTTTCGGACTGTAAGTTATGTGGCCACCCTAAGCAGTAACCAAGAGAGTAGATAATTTCAAAAAGGAGGGAGTGATCAGTATTATAAAATG